GACGGGATGCTGTATTTCAATATTTATTAAATTGCGAAGTGATTCTTAGCAAAAGGAAAAAAATAAAGGAAAAATAAAAAATGCGGCTAATGGTTATATGATAACAGCAAAAATTGAATTTTTATACATAAGAGGATTTTTACTTTACAAAACGAATTTTAATACAATTCGTTTTTTCTTTAATTTTCTATTTAGAAATAAACCTTAAAGTATTTTTCATTATTTTATATCTTGTATTATTCGCTAAACAAAGAAGGAAGAACAAAAAATAAATAAACCGCAACGCTGACATCGACCATATGTCAACCGCTTGTTTATATGTACGGAATGTCAGCAAATTTGTTGTTTATAACAAAAGTATAAACAATTTTTTCCATATGTTTTCCTAAAATTCTAACACTTTTGTAGATATATGCAAACTAAAAAAGCCATCCAAAGAGATGTGTAAAATAAATGGAAACCGACAAAAAAAAAACCTCCTAGAACTCGGAGTACACACAAAATGTTCAAACACGCAGCGTAATTTAAATTGTGACAGTCAGGGCTGGATAGTGTGGTGGGTGTTACATTTTACCAACCCGTCACAAGCGACATTTTAGATTTAATCATACCGGGCACGTACACACATGCATAATTTAATATATATGTGCTATGCAAAAGAAAAACATAAATGTTTTCATAAAACACAATGCTACCATGTATAAAACCTCGACATGTACAGATGTTTGGCTGCTTTTTTGTGTGTTTCTGAAATAAACGAAATTTCATACCCTGCGCATAGGCTGACACCAGAAACAACAACCATTGCGTAGACTAAAGGATTATAATTTTTTTTTTTTAGCTGTCAAGCCACAATTTATGTTAAAACTACTTAAAAAGGCAATAGCGAAAAAAAGAGCAAAACTGTCATCAATGTAAACAGGAAATATTGCAACTGTTACTCAACGCAATACTTTCCAATAGAGTACAATATGCAATAATTTATTGCTTTGGCATATATGAATTAATTATATTCTATCCATTGCTGGTGGCCGCATTTGTACACTTTTTCATTTCTCCATCTTCTTGTATGGCTGAGATTAAAACGACAGTATTGACAAACACGTTAAAAAAAAATAAAAATAAAAAACGAAAAAATTGCACAATGTCAACGAATAAATGAAATGAATAAATAAAGCATTAAATGGTTATTAACTCTTTCCCTTGTTATGGTTCTCGTTGCTCAGTATTGAAATTTTCATCTTTTTAGCTTTGTTTAAGCTTCTTTTGCTTTGCTCCAGCCTTTTTTTAAGGATTAATTCGAACTATTCTATTGATACCGTTTGTAATCGCTTTGGAAAAATGTCTAAAGAATTGCTACCAATTATCGCCATGAAAACCTTAAAATGAGTTTAATAAAAATGAATGGAAATTTTGTTATGGGATAAACAAAAAAAACCGTTACATTACCTTGAAATTTATTAACTTTTAAATAAGGCTTGAAATAGTTTATATAAAACTTTACTTTCAAATGGATATTTGAAGAAAATGTTAAAATGAACATCTTGGCAGAAAGACTGTAATGTACATTTTTGAGGCAAAATTTATTTAAATCAATCAGGAACACTTATGCCATTATGAATGAAAATAGGATCTTTTTTCGACTTATAATCGATTCAATTATAATTGAAAAAATTTAACCCAATTAATAAGGGAAAAACTCCCGCACAAAAATGATTATATGACAAAAACTTTTAAGTCATACAACTTGTAGAACGTTCTTATTGAGCAACGTCAGCTTATAAATCTATTATAATCCACAAAACCTTTTCATGGCATTAAGCCAGAAACCCTACCGAACCGTTCACCTTCAGCCATTAAGTACATATGAGTTATCATTTGCATATAAATGCAGACAATTTGCATAAGAATTTCATAAATACTTCAATTCATTGTACGGTTGTATTCTCTTTGTATGTATACAAGTAATACTTTACCTGTTATGCCTCAAACTTAATACAATAAGTCTTCCTCACCTTATTTCTTATTTTGAAAACGGTTGCAACTGATACGTGCAGACATCTCTAGGCAAATACTATATATGAGTAAATAGAAAGTTGATTGTTTTTAGCATAGAGCTAAGTAAAGTAATGACAACATTTACATATGCAGAGGGGAAATATACGTTTTTACAGAATTTATAGTCAACTCTCTAGAATACAGAAATAATCCACAAAAAATTTGTTTTTTGCTTTTGAAGGATTGGGGATATAAAAAAATGGTTATAACATAACATACGGTCCCGGAGAGCATATTTTTGAGACAAAATGAAATTTTAATTTATTGGAGTATTTTCTTGAACGAAAAATGAAAATTCAATAAAATTCATAAATATATGTTCAAAAATTTTTCTTCAAGCAAAACAAAGTTTATTACCAAATAGAGACGTTAGGTTAAGCGAATACATAAAAATTCTAACGCATTGGTATGCAAGTTCGGAGCTTTTCTTACACATTTTACGATGATTAAAATTTGAAGTGAAATTTTTTATCCTCGTTTGGCACAGATACCAAATTTTGACGGTAACGCAATATATTTGTCGGTAGGTATTTTATAAATCAACTTCTGAAGTTTAATCAATGTAAATGTGCACTGCCGTAAGCGAGCTAGCATAAGATGCTGTTGTGTCAAGCACATGTTATATAGATGGAACTGAAAACTTTCATGCATAATTTCTTCCAAGTTATTGTCTTTCCTATGAGCTGCGTATTACAGAGTAAAATCGACAACGCTTTTATATCCCATTGATGTTCTCTAATACTTTCGGGAATGTCAATAGTTATTTTAATTGAATACTTGGCAGTTTTTGACACAGACTTAAAACTATTTGCGATAATCTTCACTAAACGGCGAATAGTTTTTGTGGCGTATTGCACAGTAAGGACTTAATCATTTTTACGAAACGGTGTCACAATTTAAACGTGTGGGGTGTACAAAAGTTTTTTTCAAAAACATGGCAAATCTCCACATTGCGACCAATGTTATAGCTCAATAAAGGGGCAAAGTAGAAAATGCTGTCTGCTTAAGCACAATATTTCGAAATTTTAATCTTTTGGTTTACGTTTTTTCTTGCTCCCTTCGGAGCATAATCTTTTGCGTAAGTTGATCTTTAGAATTAAAGCAGAAACTTCACAATTGCCGGTTTTGTGTCAACCTGTGCAAAGTTAGACAATCAAACGGTTAGATGCATGACCCTAAGAGTAGAACAAGTCCGAAATTTAACAATGCACAAGATACATGCAAAAGCAAGCGGGACCAATTTCAAAATGAATAATCCCAGCAGTGCCATTTGTTAATGCTTGCTTGAAGAGATCGCAGAAATCTTTTCTCGTTATCGGCTACCTTCTCCTTAAAGGCATTGGCCTTAAGGCTCTCTTTCTGCCGCTCTTTCTTTTCTGCCGCTTTGTGCGTAATCGTCCACCAACGTTGATCAATTCACGACAATAATAGTTATTCCTTAGAAAGTTTACTCCGTCCAGATTTTAAATAAAGAAATGTACACGAGTTGATTGACAATTGAGTGTCTCGCACCCCTAAGAAAATAAATGTGAAAGCCAGGATACGGTCTGAGAAGCAAAGATGCAGAAATTGATAATACTCAATTAACTTTGGAGAAATGTGACGCTTTAATATTTCTTTGCCAAATAACTGAGGTGTTGCTTATCACGTAGCATAACTGAAAGTGTTATCATAGAATTAAGACGAAACGTGCATTTTAAAGAATGCGTAAAACACTCAGAAATAGTATAAACATTGATTGAATGAAGCGCTCTTGCAGCCACACCGTAAGCAATCACACCTACTGAGTTGTGAAACTAAATTTTCACAATACAAGGAAATAGTAAGCTACTAATGATCCTTCCACATAATTCCTAAATACCAAATTCCAAAAATTATCTATGTACTTATTTATTTTTTTTACCCTACAGCAATTGTAGTGCAGGGCACATTAAGATTGTGCGAATGTATTTAACACACAAAAAGTCTATCACTTAGCACCATTATCTGTCCGCCTGATCTCTTCCAATGTATTCTTATAGTGAACCTTCATTGTGGAAATTGCTTCATAATAAAAAATCGCTTAACTTTTGGAGCATCCTTTAATGTAAGGGCTTTTGGGGAAATTATACCTTCGCATAAAAATAATGAAAATTTTTGGAAAATGAATGAATTAGGCGAAAGGGTATATAATGACCGGCTTTGCCCGATTATCATGTTGTTACCTGTTTTTATATGTTCATAGGCGTCTCTCGTATAACACGACGTTTGTCCAACACAATTTCGACACAACAGTGTACAAAATGTGCGCTTATTATAATGCGGTTTTGAAACAAGACGTTTTTGACTATCAACTATGTATTTCACTAAAATTTTTCATTTGCTTTTATTTTTATTTTACCGGTAGTAAGTGAGTTTTCAAATAACTTTGATTTTGTAACTTTGGGGAAAATTAATTTTGTAATCGTCATTTATTTCACCATAATGTTGAATTCTATTTGTTTTTAATATTTTGAGGTTAACTTATTTTTCATTTATATGCACATTTGGAACGAAGCTTGGGCTATCATTAACTACGTTGTGCGACGGACAAATGCACACTAAATCTAGTTATAAAATAGATTTAGCTGCATTAAGCAACACTTGAAGGTTTGAAAGGTTACTAAATTGTTGAAACCAGAATGGGGGAGACGTGGGTGAGGTTGTGCGTTGAGTGTAGAGATTAATTTAACGTCGTCAGAATACATGAGGTAATAGAATGGTATTAATCGCGAATGATAGATCCGTTATTTGTACGACTAATGCAATGGATGCTAAGTAACTTTTTTGAGAGAACTTTACTGTGGCCAGGAATTCCGTCAGGTTAAAAGGAAGGATACACCATGGGAATAGACATTATAATAACTACTCTTATTGCTTGGATGTACTTATAATATCTTTAATTTTTTCTCGTTTTTTTACAGGACGAAAAGAATCAGTTGCTAGTAACTAACGTTTGGTTGAAATTGGTAAGTTTACACATATTTAATATAAATTAAATAAGTGACAATAAAATTTGGTGAGCTATTTTTGAAAGTACTTCATGTCCGTTATGTCAAAAGTCTTGAATTAAGCCAATTATTATCACAAATGATCTCGTTAATAAATTTACAAAAGTTTTAAGTTCGAATAGCAGCAAGAGTACAGTTTTCATCTTGGAAATGTATCGTCAGCTTATTTTCCAAGCGAGATAAATGGCTCGGTTGTAAACCACGAAAAATAAAGCAACGAAACTGGCGTTGCAGACAAAGTATTTAAATATAAAATTGAATAAAACGAATAATATTATTGTGTGGAAAAAACAACATTTTTATTTTGTAAATACATACATCTCATTCATCAATGTAAGCTATTTTTAGTTATTATTGTTGGAGTTCTCATTAACATGTAACGTTAGTTTTATATCATTGATTTTTTAAAACCTCACTGCATTTGGTGTATATTAAGTTTGAGCGGATGTATGCAACACTCAGCATTTTATTGTACCACTCAATTTAAAAACATTTCTGATTCCATTTAAACAGATTCGTCTGATGACCATGCATACAACATAACGTTCTACCTATGTTTTGACCCAAGGACAAATTCTATTGAAAATTCATATTGAATGGAAGTTTTTTAAATCTCTTAGCCAAGTAAGGCTTTATTTTGGGAAAATTATATGAAGAAAATGATCCATTTTTAATATTTCTCAAGAAAAATCTCCAAAAAGTAGTATTTTGTCTCCCTAAATGAATATGCTCAGAATGTTTGGCAGATGGTCATGTTTTCTTCTTCCTATTGTAATCGCAACAACCACTAAAGAACATTGGCTTCCTGCTTTGGAAGCTATTTTAGAAAGCGATTACTAGCATGGTTTTGCGATTTGGATAGACCATTGCTATTAGTATATTTAAATTGGAAGGATTCACTTTCAACTAGATTAAATAAAATTGGAAGAATACATAAATAATCTTTTTTTATTTTAATAATCGCCCCTCTGTTTTGAATACGCCTTTACATAAATCCACAGTTATGTGGATATACCTAGCGGAAGTGATGCAATCTACGTAAAAGCGAAAATTTGAACCCAGCCATATACAAAGCATTAAGCAAGGAACGAGAATTAAGTAGAAAACCATTAGAGGCTTCGAAATATTTTAATCACATTATGCAATATCCCATTTTTACCCTTTGTTGATGAAATAAATGCTACCTCTTTTTTGGACCTAACTTCCCATACGTTGTCAGCTAATTTTATTAACTCAAGTATGTCAATGACCTTTGATCGAGTCAGAGCAAATGAAATTTTTTTTCTAGTGTTTCGGTGTCGAACGCGGTATTTGCTGTCACCGACATGTGCCGACAAAATTCCGAAGGTTTGTTGTAGTTGCTCAAGTGAAGATTGTGATGGAAAATGTTGAAGATCTAAAAATTTAATTGAACATATCTCTACTTAGCCGGCCAATATATTTGTTTTTATACCGTCCGACCGGAGTAATGGGGTATATTCATTTTGGCGAAGCGTTTGCAACGTTATTCAACGATAGCCTAAAATATACTTGCTTACAAAATTTGACGAATAAATTAACATAACTCTCCAACTACGACGTCATTACTGCATCTTTTATATCTCTCAGAATTTATCCTAAAAGCAACAAAAAAAAAGGAGAAGAGCTAAATTTTCTCAGTGATTTTTTGCTTTGTACAGGAAGCTCGCTCTTCTTTCTAGTTATTGATTTTTAGTTTGTCCTTTGTATAATTTCGTTGATTGAATGAAGACGTATTCTTCTTTTATCGAATTTAAAATTAAAACACCGGAATTAAAAATGTCGAATCTTGAATGCCCATCAGACAAAACACTTAAGTATTTGAGAGCTTTTCGGAATCATTTCGACTTATTAAATCTTTTTAAGGTAATTAATTGTTTAGATTTTTCAATATGTTTTCAACTACTTTCAATAAATAAAGAGTAAATGAATAAAAACTTTCTACAACAATAAATAGTAGAAAAAGTATTTTATTTGCTGTTGCAGATTTCAATAACATTAAATAAAATGATTTCATTGAAATTATTGATCAAATAACTCATTGTCATGACTACTAAAACGGCGGAAAAGCCATATAATTCACTTCCTGTGCATACGCGTATGCATGCATTTATTCAATGCTGTCTCGTGTGTAAAGTGTTACTAGTGATCGCTTTTTTGTTTTCAGACTACTCCATGAAAATTTTATTGCAGCATATGAAAGCATACAATTATATAGGCGATAAAAAACAAAAAGTGGAATGTTTTACTTATTGTGTGTGCGTGTGTTCATACGAAATATTTTTGCATTTGCGGATGCATTAAACTTATCTGTTTTGCCGTTATTACATACATGAAGAAAAATTGCGTGATAATGAAAAACTCTCATAAATGCAAATAGATAGATGGACAGACGTTTACAGGGTGACATGTAAACTGCTTATAAATAAACATGCACGCACGTATAAAAACCTACTCATCGAAAAATTGAAGCGAACAATCTATGCACATATATACATATAGATATATCCATATGCATGCATATAAAGTGTATACTTACTTAAATTTACATACAAGCACATCGACAATTGTGACAAAACATGTGCATTTTATACTAGCTTCAGGCATGCAAAGAGATCCCGACTTCGTATGAAATTATAAATAAACCATACATTTACTATTATATAGGAATTTTTACATTTTATCACCCGTAACTAAAAAGTAATCTGCAGTATGGAAACGAATACGTATAAAATTTTTTCCTATACCCATGTCTTTGAGTTTGTCTGTCTTTGGCATTTGATGCACATATACTTCAGCAATTTATGGATATTTTTTCATTTCATTTCATATATATCTACATGTGTGCTACAGGCGGAGATCAGTTTGTTTAAGCATATGGTGATGTACATATGCGAACATTTTTGCAAACTTCTTTGCTTATTTTCTTATAAGCCGGTTCCGTAAAGGTACTAACTTTCTTTTCGCACACAGAGCTAATCAGTTGTCTTTTTTTTACATGTCGTTACGGAAACATAATTAGCTCTTGTTACTTCATAAATAGCGTATTTCAAGTATAGTATTGCGAAGTGGCCCACGACATGATCACATCAAAATGAATGTGCTTGGTATCCTTCTACTTTGATATAGTATCCAAAAGAACGCGCACATTCCTATTTTAAATTCCTGGAGAGCGCTAATTTTCTAACTGCTCATCATAAAGTATTCCTTTATCAAATAAGTTTGCTTTACTTGAACATCACATGTTTGGAAGCTCAAGAAAAGCATAGCATAAGAAATTGAAAGGTAGCGACACGCTGTCATACCGATTGATAGTCATATAATGGGCTGCCGGTCATAAATTCAATTTAATGTATATAATCTCACGTCATTGCTTAAAACATGAAAGTCACTGAATGGTGAAGAATTACAACTTTCTACCTATCCGTGATTTCATAATTTCTGCATCGATTTGTTGCGTTGTATAGAGAATATGCGCACTTCTGTGACTGCTTTATTTAAAAAGGAACATTTTTCATCTTGAGTTATATTACAAAATACGAGGTGCGTTCTAAAGCAAGTCCCGCCTTTTTTTTTAAAACCATATAGGCGGCACATTGGCGGCTGCCTTAGTTGGAAACGTTTTAATAAATTAAATAAAGATAATTATTTGGTTCGTGGACATAACTGTTAACGAGTTGTTCCGATTAATTGTGCAGAAAAATATACTCTTGTGACTGGTTTTTCAAGTATCATATTCCGCTGACTTATCAACGGGTAATTTCTACCTACATCGAAGTGGCATTGACCGATTAAACGAAAGCGTTCTGCCGACGTGGAGACTACTCTAAAATGCGCTTTTATGCAACTAACGCACTCTCGGTTAGAAGGAAATAATACGACTTCCTCGCTTTCAGGAGATCTATTATTATTATTATTATTATTGTATTGGCCAAGCCATAACGCGTATAATGTCTACTTTGTTCTCCAATCTTTAGCCTTTCAGTTCTTGAGAATCCCATCACAGGTTCTCGATTCGTATAACCATACTAAGCCTGGCCTTATGATATGTTGGCTAAATATCTGATTCAACAGACGGACGGAGAGGTTAGGAGAGTTTAGCCAGCCCTTTGCAGAATGTGCACAAATTTGTGTTTGCGATATCCATATTTTTCAGACTATGTCTGAAAGCCGGCTAATCCAAAGTGTTCATCATAAAGTCGTAAACATTAGACTTTTTTGCGATATTCCATGAGAACCCTTACATAGGGTAGAATGCAATAAAGAGACTTACCTGACGCAAAGCTGACACAGTTCAGTGCTATATGAAATTACTATTATGCAATATTAAAAGTAAAACCGGCGGGCCACATGAATATACTTATATAATTATGTAAGGAAGAGTTCAAAACATCAGCCAATCTGGTTCTTATTTCTTAAGTCAATTTAATAAAACTAGAAATTATTACTCAGTGATTTTTGCGAAGACACTTTAAAAATTGCTTTTCTTCTTTCATGTAATCTCTGACAGTAGAGTAAAATTTAATAATATCCTTAAGAAGTTACTGACCTTTCGAATTGTCATTTTAGCTATCGCGTTGGTATCACATTTGATTAGTCAGTTCTGCCCGCTTGACTGACAGTACTTCAGGTGGAGAAAATTACTTGCGCGGGCAGTACGCGGTAGCTATAACCATATCGCGATTTATAAGAAGACATGGCATATGTTATAATGGAAAGAATGTATAACAGAACCAAAGGCATGAAGTAATGTTTATTGGTGCCATTTACACATTTTATGTGAGTGACACCAGTTAAGATTCAACCAATAGAACTGATATTTATTTTCTAACAAAGGGTGTAGGATGTTATATTTTATGATTTTGGTTTAATTAATACTGACGTACTTAATCAGTTTTCAAATTTGACAAAATAATGTAATGTTAATGCCTATGAATTGCAAGAACTTTCAGAATTCAGAATTAAATCGAAAACTCAAAAACCAAGCATATATACCTTACAAAGGCAATTTGTACAATAATGGAAGGCATGCATTGCCCATCAACATTATCCATTACCCAGGAGAATACAAACGAATTTAAAACGTCTTTACAATTAGTTTCTGGCATTTTACATTACCTCTTATCACTTCCGTAAATTTTTTTTTATTGGATGAACGATCGATTAGTTTAAAATACTCTCATTCGCGCAACATATAAATTGTTAACATACCTGTAGTTATTTAAGTGGATTGATGCCATGAAAATACACCATAATTTATTGATGACTGAGTTAAGAATCATCATAAGTGCTTTGCTTTGATTGGGGCTTATTTCTAATCTAATAATGATAATTGCAGTCTTATTTGTTTTGAAAGTTTTGCTTTACTTATATATGAAATCTAATTATACTTGTAAGTAATACATCACCCAATAATACTCATAGCTGAAAAACTGTGATTTCTGCAGAGTACTTTCAAAAGAGGCGTGTCAAAATCTCATGGCATTCTGACAGTTAGCTTGCAAGTTACATGTTTCGTGGCCCTACTTCTGTAATTCTCAAAACCATAGAAAAATCCGAATTTCGTGAACTGATTGAACTTTTGGGTTTTGATGAGAAAAAATACGTTTGTAACCATCGTTGACTTAAACGATTTTATGGTGACTCCTGCGTGTCGAAAAAAATAAATTTATGCATGATTTGCTACTTTGAAACAAAGTTGAATGGACACGGATTATATCCAAATCTCTGGTTGTCAAAGTTGGCAATCGCTTCAGAAAACAAAGAAAAAAAAAAAGGTTTCGGAAGACCGAAAAGTGAAATTACGAGTGTTAACTGACAGCTTAAAGACACCAAAAGTCAGTTTATGCACTAATTTGCATCAAGTGGTCAGCAACCGGCGAGAGCCCTCTAAAGCGACAGAAACGAGAACTAAAAATCTGTGTGCATCACACCGGAGACTTATTGAGTGATGTGATATTTGAATCGATAGGATACATTTATGTAAAGAATTAATAATGCATCTCACAATACCTGCGGTAAATTGCAAGAACTTTTGACATATCAAGAAATTTTCGGAGAACTGCTCCTATATTGAATAGTTTTGTTATTGTTGTGTTTTTATTTCAGGAATGGAATGATATGAATCTGCGCTGGAATACATCAGATTATGGTGGCATAAAAGATTTACGTATACCACCACATCGGATATGGAAACCGGATGTGCTGATGTATAACAGTGCTGATGAGGGTTTCGATGGTACATATCAAACGAATGTTGTGGTACGAAATAATGGTTCGTGCCTATATGTGCCGCCGGGCATATTTAAGTCAACATGCAAAATTGATATCACATGGTTTCCGTTTGATGATCAACGTTGTGAAATGAAATTTGGCAGCTGGACGTATGATGGATTTCAGGTTTGACCAAAACAAAACATAAAACAAAGCATTGAAATACGCGCAGGAAGTATACATATATATGCGTTGAAAGAAGAAATCAAAAAAATAACGAGAAAAATGTTCTCTTTATTTTTTTATTTATTTTTAAGCTTATTTTCATTTCATATCAAAGTAACATTTTCGTTTTTTTTTTTGGTTTTTATACATTTCTGTTTGACTATGAAAAACAAAAATTTTTCTATGAGAAATATTTATCATATTATACATCATGTTTCGACAGCTGGATTTGCAATTACAAGATGAAACTGGCGGTGATATCAGCAGTTACGTGCTCAATGGCGAGTGGGAACTACTGGGTGAGTAACAGCCATTCGTTATGTGGGCCTCTAATGTAAAACCTAATAAAAATGTAATGCCCAATACGTCTGTCATGTCTAACGTATGCACATCAACGTGTAATACTTAGTAGTCATTTGGAAAAAGAAACACAATTCGAAAGCATAACATAAATGTTTGTAATGGTTGCTAATTTGTAAGAACACTTGCTGTTGTTGATTGTTGTGTTAATTTAAATGTTATTGTATTTGTCTACATTATAATATTAACGTTACTGTTTCCCGAAAAAAACCTAAACTAACAAAACTTGGTGATGACGTAAATGCTTTCCCATATATACGTATATACACGTTGCTAATGCCATGGCTGTGTTGCTGTTGCTCTATAACCATAACATACAAACACATAAACCATGCAACTGGTACTTAGCATTCTTTCTAAACGAAATAACTAAAAATGTACAATACTCAGTAAAGCAAAAATCTCATTACTTTTCACATAGGAAACCGCAAACAATAGTTTGGAAAAAAAAATAGTAAAGATATTTCTTTACTCATATAACAAAAATATGGCAGTAAAGAAGAATCACCAAAGACACTATATAACATTGCAAAAAAGAGAAATAATAATAAAATGAAACATGACCAGAAACGGAAACGGAAGTTTGTTCATTTATACATTCAATCCCTTTAGTAGACTTTTGCATTTCCTGAGTTTTTCTCTTTCACAGTTTTTGATATACAATATAGTACTGACCAACGATATTGTTCATCTTTTATCCAAGCGGGTATAGTTGTATACTTTCGAATTTTTAACAAAAATTCTGGTTACAAGAAGAGAAGTCGAGATTTAAAATTTTCTTAATTAAATTTTAATTTCTTTTTTACGGTGACGATCCAAAAGGAAAATTTAATTTTTTTAAAGCTTAAGTTTCCTTTCCATTGTTTGAAGTGAAGAAGCCTAGAAAAATAACACTTTGGCTACATGACATGAACAAGTTTCCCGTAGGAAGGGATTTAATTAGGTAATAAATGCAAGTACTCCCCTCAAATTTTATATATAAATAACTACGAAAATATTCTGCAAGCTTCGATATTTCTCAGCATATTTTATATGAAGAAGGTTATTTTTGCTTTTATTTTTGTTTTTATGTTAAGAAGCGACCGGAGGAAATGCCTTTCTTTACAAACATGTTTGTTAAATATAACTAGAACAAGTAAGAAAATTATACTCGGTCCTGACCGATTCATTTTTGTACCCATCACCGTTATCCTAAAAGAGACAAAAAAAGTAAAAGAAATAAATTTTTATGCTCTATAATATGGAGTGGGCGAGGCGGATTTTTTCTCTTTTCACAATAAAAGTGTATCTCGCGTAGGCACGTGGGCGATACAGGCGTGAAAGATTGAAAAAGTTAGGCGGCTTCTAACTTTGCAAATTTGTAGGCGTTTTTGCTAACGGGAGAATGTTTACCACAGATATTGCAAATTTAAAACTGGCCAAGAATGTGTATACTTTGTGGCCACATGATTTCCTATGATCACCTGTTAGAAACCATTATAAATATTTATCCTATCAGAAGGTTTCACACGCTCGATACGTCCGTGAAAGAACAATGTACGATGTGCCAGGGTAGCTGCTATTCACTATGATTGGATACACTTATCAGGGAGCTACTAAATCAAATCAAGGCTTTAAAGCTGAACAGGTTATCGATGTGCTAAACTACAGACACACTTCTTTTAATAATGTAAATACCATTCAGTATTTGTTCAGCTCCTTGAAACAATATTCTTTTACTTTCCCGAATAAATTTGAAAGTTGGAAAAATGTTTTAATTTTTCGTGATTTTAAAATCTTATATTAAATCTTTGTTTGATTTACAAAGTAAAATTCAAATAATTCGTACCTCAATGCCCACAAGGACATGTAAAATGTTATGCTGCCATTTTTCCTAGTTTTGTATATATATTTTTCTCTTTGCGTCTTTTTTTCCGCTCTGGAAAGTTTTCTCTGAACGTTATGTTACGCTTATGTTTAAATATCTGCCATATGAATATGCAAAAGTATTGCTTTCACTTCAATTTCTTGTACTTTCTATGGGAAACTAGCACTACTTTTTCTTGTGGACATTCTAGGATGTTTAACAGCACATTAATTCTCAACTACTTGAACTTTATTGGTGTGATTGTGTTAACAGTGTGTAACCACAGCGTTAGCTAAAAGTTTATGGGGAACGAATTACTTTAACGAAATTTATGGGATATTTAAACTTTACAATTTATTTTTGGTTGAGAGAAAAAAAAAGAAAGAACACAACAAAAATTTTTCCTGCAAAAAAATGCTCGCAACATTGTCGTCGAAAAAGTAATGAGGTTTTATTGCTAACTTTCAATTTTACATGTCCTCTAAAGTTTCTCATACATCTGGCTCCGCTTACGTTCCTCGAACTCCACAACATATACTCTCGTTGTCATCTCAACATTCACTTCACGTACTCGTTTACAGTTCAAATGATCTTATATTTGGCTCATTAGCTCTCTCTCTCTCTCTCTCTCTCTCTCTCTCTCTCTCTCTCTCTCTC